GCCGGCCCTGCGGGTCCCCACTTGGGCCTGCAGGCTGGTCACCACAGCGCAGGGCAGTACCAGCCCCAGCACGGGCAGGAGCGCGTTCTGTGCCAGGCAGAAAGCTTTTCCTTGGATCATTTCACCGAATCCTCCTAACTGCCTCCATGCCGGCCAGTCCCGTTATGTCCCCATTTCTCAGACTGACGTTCTGAGAGCCCAGATGACGTGAGCAGAGTCCTGGGCTCCACACATGGCAGGTGCCACCCTGCTGACCCCGGTCCGAGCAACGGAACCGCTTCCTCATTCCCGCGCTCCCTTCGTGGAGGTTACTGTCCCCGGTGGGTGGAGAAGCGCGGAGGGCGAGATCCCAGGCGGGTCTTGGGACTGCAGGGCGGTGAGCAGGAGGTGGCTGGGACCTCCACAGAGGGACACAAAGTCGGTGGCAAAAGTGACCGAGAAAAGAACTGTGGTGACCAGCGAGGGTTGGGTGCCGGGAAGGGGCTGGATGGGTCAGGAGGACTCGTGCACGTGGGGGAGTGCAGAGGGCCTGTGTGGGGAGCGAGAGCGGGGCATCCGGGCTCCAGTTCTGCCCCGTGTGGCCACTGATGTGGCCCCTCTGGCCAATAGGAGGGTGTCCTTAAAGCTGCCCCATGTCCTTCCTTGCTGGGCGGGTGTTCCATCCTGCTCACCAGAGCCCCTCGCCTGGGCCCCTGTACTGCCTGCACGGGGTGAGGCACCGCTGGGGTGATGCATTTTGGGTTGGTGACACCCCTGTCTCCCTCTGGGACTGACCCCTCCCATACACACACCTCATGGCATCAGCAGCTCTTGATGGTCTCCTCGAGCTGAGCTGCACAGGGCCAGCCAGGAGCCACCACCCTGTGACAGAGGAGGAGACTGAGGCCCTGCTGGTAGGGGCCAGCTGCCCAGGATGGGGGATCCAGGAGTCACCTTGCCTGGCCCACTGCTGGGAATGCTGGGCTGAAAGAGAGCAGGTCTCATGGGTGCCACCTGGCCCCAGGTGGTCCCCGGACAGCTCCCTGCCCCTTGGAGCCTGTCTTCCCATCTATCTACCAGCTAGGGATAAGGGTCACTTCACAGTCAGGGCACAGGCCCCAGCTGAGTGCCTGCTGTGTTCGGGTGCTAACTGAACATACCAAGCCTGCCCCTCCCCCGCACAGCCCGTCTGATGGGGGAGGCTGACAGCTAACAAGTGGAAGACATGACAACACCCATCGGTTCCCTGGTGTCTGCCTGTGCCAGCGCCGAGGAACTCCAGGGTCTCCCCCCAGCCCTGGGAGCTTGGCGAGGGGGGCCCTGCATGCCTGCCGCCCCAGGAGCGGGGACTGGGGGCCTCTCGGGAGCGGGGGGCAGGCCCCGACTCGAGGCGGCTTCCGCAGGACTGATTTATCGCAGCCACTTGCAGCCCGAGGGAGCCGCGGTCCTAGGGCGTGTTGGGTCCCCCCAGCTGGAATGAATCCGGCGGGAGGATGAGTTTGGTCATGCTTGGGTTGTCAAGAACTGAAGAATGATATTCTCTCTTAAAAATATTCCCCGTGGCTACCGAACTCTCTTGCTCGCCCCAGGAAGAGGCTGGGGAATCCTGGGCCGTGCTCTGTGACGTCAGGCACCTGCTCCGAGCCTGGGGCCCCTTCTAAAGTGGGGCAAAGGGCCCCTCCGCTGCTGGGCTGCTGAGGGATGGTTAGACAACACAGGAAAGTGTTCGGCTGTGTGCTGACTCAATCCACCCGACGTGAGAAGAGCTACTGTCTCAGGTGTTGGCGCACCGCTTGCTTCTGAGTCATCTGTGACTTGGGAATAGAGTATCTGTGGGAAATTTGGCCATTTCGATCTGTCTGGAACCATCACTCAGCAAACCCAGGTCGTGAAAGCATCTCTAAGTCTCTTTGTAGCTCAGGAAACGCTGATGCCTCTACACCCTCCCGGTGCTGCAGCCACAGAGCAAGGGACCCAGGTGGCAGGAGCTTGGGCCTGGGTCTTATTCTCTTTAGCAGTGCAAACACTGGCAAGAGGCCTTGGCTTCCTGTCTGTAAAATGGGCACACACCCTGCCGTGTTGGCTCCTGGAGACAATGTGTGTAAAGCGAAGTACGTAACCTCTTTCAGAATTGCTCTCTTTGGCAGATGCGACCCCTCTGGCCCAGCCAGATCTGTCAGTGCTTGGAACAGAATTCCTTTTGGGGGTGCTAAGCAGCGGGTGGTCACTGGGACGAGTCAAGCGTGGACTCAGGAGCAGAGGCGTGAAGGCCGTGTGTCCGCACTGCTGGAACCCCGGGCTTGCTGTGTGCCAGGGGACCCTGAACCCGACGCCACTCACTTCTGCGTCACCTTCTCCCCGGGAAGCTTGGCTGTGGCGTTAGTGTCATCCCAGCTTGACCACTACCAACCAGCTACGGAGCCTCAGGCTCACCACCCGAGCTTCTCCTGTGAAATGGGGCAAAGACTTTAATTTCACGGACAGGAATGTGTCCATCTGGCCATTTCCAAGGAGGGGAACGAGGCTTGGGGGCTCTAGATGGCTGACGGACCCCTCGCTTTCTGACCTCCCCAGGTACTAATGATAGTCCCAGTAGCCCTGTCTGGGGGTCTCTCTGTCTACCAGGCCATAACAAGGCCCCAAGGGAGATGACACCACCCCCACTCCAGTGACGAGGACCTGAGGCCCAGAGAGGGAGTGGCAGGCACCTAGCCACACAGTGGTGGCCTGGGATTCAAGCCCCCGTCTGTGGCTCCAAAATGACTGTGCTATGACACTGTCTCCTGGCCGCCGCAGGAGGAGGATGAAGACAGTGTCTGCCTTGTTTGCTGGTGGATCTGCAGGGCTAGCCCCACACCTGGCACATGGTAGGGACGCAGTAGACATATTAGTGGAATGAATGAAGAAGGAGCAAAGGCGAGAACCTCCCTCCTCAGCCCCGGCACCTCCCAGCACCCAGAGCGAGGTGTCTGTAGAACTCCAGGGTGGGGGCCGCGGACCCAGTTAGTCACAGCCTGGCCTTGGCTACCTGGGCCTGCCCTTCTGGAGGATTTTCTCAGCTCCCGAGGGAGGCCCCACTCTCAATCCCAGAGAGCGAGAGAGCCAAGGTGACCACTGCCTGGCACGGGGCCCGGCTGGGCCTGCACAGTGTGAGGGGGGCAGGCCAGCTGTAGAGTTCAGTACCTGGGTATACTCTCTTGGCCCAAACTGGGCCCCCACCCCCAGCTCCATCAGAAATTCACCATCAGCCCATCTTCAAACCCAGCTGTGCCCCTTCCCGGCTGGCTGTGTGACCTTGGGCAGGTCATCTCTCCTCTTTGAGAGTCAGGCTGTAGAAAGGGGGAATGTCGAGAATATTTGTCGATGTCTAGTAGGTCTCAGGACAGAAGCATCGGTTACCAGGCGGCAGTAAGTCAGCAGTCCTCCCAAATGCTCCATTCCCTCCCTGCCTTAGAACTCCCAGTTCTCACTCTCTTTGAGTCTAATTCATACTTAAGTGTGAATGGCTCTCAGACTACCTTTCCCCTCAAGTGTGTCTCACCCAGACATCACTATGATCTGTGTTGTTTCTGATGCTGTGTGACTGAGTGAGAAGGAATTGGAGGGGTTTTTTGCTAAGGGGGCAGGTGGGAAATAGACTCCCTCCCCCTCCTCCCCCAGAGTTCCTTCATGCAGCAGTTGGGGATGGGCAGAGGGCATTAGTCTTTACTGCTCTGAGCAGTTTGGCACCTTGTTAAGAAAGTTTCCACAAATCATCAAACAAGTGTTGGTGAGGGTGTGGAGGAAAGGGGACTCTAGTGCACTGCTGGTGGGAATGCAGACTGGTGCAGCCACTATGGAAAACAATATGGTGTTACCTCAAAAAATTAAAAATTGAACTGCCATTTGATCCAGTGATCCCACTTCTAGGAATATGCCCTAAGAAGCCTGAAACACCAATCAGAAAGAATATATGTACCCCCGTGTTCATAACAGCACTATTTACAATAGCTAAGATCTGGAAACAGCCCAAGTGTCCATTAGTAGACGAATGGATAAAAAAGCTGTGGTACATATGCACAATGGAGTACTATGCAGCTGTAAGAAAGAAAATCTCTTGTCCTTTGAGGCGACATGGAGGGACCTGGAAAGTATTAACCTAAGTGAAACAAGCCAAGCAGAAAAAGACAAATACCACATGATCTCACTTATTCATGGAATATAATGAACATAACAGTCTGAGGAATAGGGTAGACCCAGAGACGTGGCAGTAGGGTACAGACTGACAACCCTCAGAAGAGGGGGTGGTGGTGGGGGGAAGAGATAAACCACAGAACTTATACGCATGTACGTATAACCAATGGACATGGACAGCAAAGCCGGGGATAGGGTAGGGGGGGATGGGGAGGAAGGTGTCAATGGGGTAAAAAAGGAGAAACATCTGTAACAACAAAAAAAATCACAATTGTGATACAAATACAAAGTATCATTTATTACCATGCAGTGGCTGACAGTTGCTCTGAGGGGAAGTTTTTCCCTAAAAAAAAAAAGAGAGTTTCCAGCACATAGTAGACCCTTAGCAAATGTCTTTCTGGAAGGTGACGAAGAACAGGCTGTGGCCTGGGCCTGGACCATCTTCCCTGCCACCCTTTCGCTGCATCTGATGAACTCCTACACATCTCTCAATGCCCGGTTTAGATGCCCCTCCTCTAGGAAACCACCCCAACTTTGTTTAGGTCCAGTTCATCAGAGATGCTCAAACCCGGAGTTAATCCTGTCCGACAATCCTGTTTCCCAAGGATGCAAAATTGTGACCTGGTAGGAGGAGGCCTTCCCTTGGCTGAGGTCTCACTGCGGATCAGAGGCCACAGCAGAGTCATGTTAACCAAACCTCCCCGGGTCTCTACGTGGTGTATCGGCATGCAGAGGGGGCGGGGCCACCGCCTCTCTTCTCCCGCCTCTCCCCCTGCGCCCTCCACACCGCCACGAGGGCCTCCCGCAGAGCCGAGTGCTAACATCCTCTCTTCCTTCTTTCTCTGCAGCCCACGACCTCCCCGCGAACAAGGCCTCAGCAGCCCAGCCCGGCAGCCACTTGCAGTGCCTGTCTGTCCACTGCACAGACGACGTGGGTGATGCCAAGGCCCGAGCCTCCGTGCCCACCTGGCGGTCCCTGCACTCTGATATTTCCAACAGATTCGGGACATTCGTGGCCGCCCTAACTTGAATTGACAAGAATGCCCCCTCCCCCACCAGGCCCTTCCCTCCCCCCTCTCTCTCCCTTCTCCCCTCACCCTGACCCCCTACCCCCTGATAATTTGAAAGGGCCACTATGGCTGAGTGGTTGAATTATTTTCTAGATTGGTACCTGCTTAGTGGCATATGGACTGGAAAGGGTTAATTTAAAGGGGAAAAAAAAAAACCTCAAAAATTTTTTTTAAAAGAGAAACTCTGTCTGCCACAGTATGTTACCAGTGTTAACCCTTCTGCAGTTAGCAAACTTTTGCTTAAGCCTTTTCCCTGCTAGAATAAGTCCCATTTTTCTGTCATCTTGGCATACGTTTTTTAGATGACCTCTTTCTTTGTTTTATTTCCATGCTGCTGTATGTCCAAGTATTGTTATTTCATAATAAGACAAGAGTTGCTTTCCTTTTTTATTCTTTTATTCTTGTTTCTCCCCCCACCTCCACCCCCCCCCCCTTTTTTTTCTCTTTGCTTTGTTCACTGCTTATTAAAATGGAAATCCTGGAGAAGAGTAGTTTTGGAATATTGCCGGGTGAAAGTCAAATTGTCATCACAATATTATATATTGACATCCAACTGTCATCAGTCAGGCAGGGGCCAAACAATGAATGCCCCCTTAGGTACTCCACCGGGGATTTTGTTTTGTCTGTTCCCTGAGAAAACAGAGAGAGAGTGTATTTCCTGCAGACACACGCTCAGCCTCCAGCTCCGTCCTCCCTTCTGCTGGAGGCTGCCCCTCTCTGCAGTGGAGGTGATGACGTGGCCAGCCTGCTCTGTGGGAAGGAGTCAGAATGTTTGACAGTGGTGTTTTCTCTCCTTTTCTGGGCCTCTCCACAAATGCCCAGGCTCTGAATTTTCACGCCGTGCTGAGCAGGCCTGGTCTGCGTGGGGGATGGTGGCCTTCCAGCTTACATCCTCTCTGGGGTGGGGTACTTCAGGCCCCTCTGCTGCAGCCAGGCTGCTGGGTCCTGGGTGCTGCAGTTGGGGGGATGGATCGATTCTTGTTCCCAGCCAGGCATCCCTAGGGAAGGAGGGGGGGGCCTGGGTGTATCCCCCTCATCTCTCCCAGTTGGTCCCCACTCCCATCTATTTTACCACCTCCAACCTGGGTAACTCCCCGTCCTTGGAAGGGGTGAGGGAGCCCAGGCTCAGCTGGGGAGCCCCCCTCTCCAGGCCTGGGAATATTTCTTTGCCGGGCTTTGCAGACTGCTGAGGGCCAGAGGGAGGAGAAAGGGAACATAAGTCATGACTTTGATACCTGGGCCTTGTTTTTTGAACCTGGAATTCCTCCCCCCACTTTTGATTTAATCTATGTCGATTGCAAAATTAGAGCCACATCCCATGTGTCTCATGAAGAAATAGCTTCTCCTTTGAGAAGTGATGAGGGGCGGCTGGGCAAGCCGTGCTCCTGGACCCAGCACGGCATGTTACCTGGTCCTCCTAGAGCGGTGGTCACCAGAGGCTCAGGGGTGACAGGAGCAGGCACCTTTGGGGGCTCTTGATGCCTACAGAGGGCTTGAATGACTTATGGGGGGGCACTGAGATTCCAGGGTGGGTCAGACAGGAAGTAACTGATACCACTTCACCCAAATCAGCGACCCATCTTTTATTTGATTTTGTGAACAACCATGTCTCACTAAATTCCCCATTTTGAGCCTCACCTCCCCCTTCCCCCAGGTCCCCAGAATTTGCAGACCTGGCTTTTTTTTAGCAAGTGACCTGAAGGCTTTGGGCTCACCGTACAACACCCACATTGTTTATTTCAAAGGGCTTTTCAGCCAAGGGAGAAGAGCGCCCAGAAAAATCTCGCTCTCTCCAGAGCCCCCCCCCCCCTTCTTTCCTCTGCCAGCCTTTTTGGCTCGGGTCAGAGTCTGGGCAGTGCGAGGTTCTGGCCTGGACAGCGTGACCAGGGGCTGACCCCAGGCCCGCAGAGGGCAGGCTGAGCAGGCAGTGCGATTTCTCAGAAGGTGTGAGCTGATCCAGTTCCTGCCGCCAGAGGAGAGAGTGGAGGGAGGTCCGCCCGCCACAGGCTGCAGGGGCACCAGCCAGTCTGAGCAAAACCCCTCGCCCCTTCTGATCCCACAATGTACAGCTGTCGGAGAGCTTCATCATTTTATGATTATTTTTTTAAACTGGAATGATTTCTCCTTAATTGCTTAAGGCCGGGGAGCCAAGCGTCTTGACTTCTGTCTGACTTTCCCTGTGTTGAGTCCACCAGCCCTTGGCCATCAGCTCATGGTCTTAGCAACCTCGGAAACCCCTGAAGTTGAAAACTTTTGTGCTCCCCACGACCCCAGAATGGAACAGCTTTAACAATAGCCTTAAGCAAAAGGATGTTATTTCATTAAATTTGGTTTAATGGAAAGAATAAAAGTAAATTAAAAACACACCCAGCCCACGAGACTCCAAACACTGGTAATTGGTACTGCATAGCGAACTCTTCGGGAAAGAAAATGAAAACGTTATTGCACATGTAAAATATGAAAACTTAACTCTGCTGTGTGTTAGGCAATCCTGTAATCTTTTTTGACTCTTAAAAGAAATTCATTTCTGAAATGCTTGGTTGGAAGACTGTGACAATAGCTCATGAAATTGAGTGTTATTTTTTTCTTTCTTTTTTAAAAAAATATGTAAAGTGCAGTCTTCTGTATTCATGCATATTGTATATACCTGTATATGTTTTCCTGAGCAGCTAAATAACAATAAATATGACGTTAATGGTGACTGTGGTACATTTGTGGGCGGGGCTTGCTTTATTTTTTTTTCCCCAACACCTTTGCTTTGCCTATAGCTCTCTTCAAATTCCATGGGGTCTGGATGCTGGGGTGTGTGTGTGTGTGTGTGTGTGTGTGTGTGTGAATGTGCATGGATCTTCTGATGCTCGTCTAGGTTGGTTCATCTCAGAATTTCTCCACTCAGCACTGTTGACGTTTGGCTGGGTAACTCTTTGGGGTGGGGGACTGTCCCGTGCACTGTAGGATGTTGAACAGCATCCCGGCCCTGGAGATGCTAGTCGCACCTCATCTTCTCACCCCTCCCTTTTTTGACAACCAAAACATTGTGCAGTGTGCCCTGGGAGGCACCTGAGAATCACTGGTACCTGATTGATGCAGGAGGGAAGGAGTAAGGGGAGACCCAGGTGGCCGTGCTGTGTGATGGTTATTTCGGGGTCTTAAGAGTTCAGTGTCAGAAATCAGTAAGTTTGCATCCTCCTGCAAGTTGTGCAGCTTCTCAGTTCCTCCTTTTTCTCTGTGAAATGGGTCTACTTGTGGAGTTGTTATAGGAGACAGTACAGTTTATGTGGACGTGGCACATAGGAGGGCCCCACACATGAATTGTTAGCGTCACGCCGTGACAGCGTGGCGCAGCGGACAGCCTTTTGGAGTCTGTTGATCCTGGGTTGTTGCTGCTTCTTCTGCTTACAGCCATGGGCCGCCGTGGACAAGTGGTTTCCACCCAGACTCCATTTTCTTGTCTCTAAAATGGCGCAAATTACATCTAGCTTGAAGGTTACTGTGAGCACCAGCCCTGTTTCAGGCCCTGTAAAAGCTCTGGCTGTCCCATGGGTCACCCTTTGGGCAGTAGCTGCACTCTGGCGCCCGCGGCCTTAGACTTGAGGCCGTTGCAGAACCTTATCTACAAAGGGGAGAATGGAGGGAAAAGGTAGACAAGCTAAACGTGAGGGGAGTATGCCTGATAACCCATGATACAAAGGATGGAAGACACTCCGAGAGATTCATGGGCCCCATGTAGGAGATTTGGGGAAGGCTTCCTTCAGCAGGTCATATCCAGTTGGGGTTTTGAAGGATGAATAGGAGTTCATCCTATTCATCCCAGCATAAAAATTGGCACTACTTTGGCAGAAATCTTGTTGTCTTTCTTCCCTTCAGCTTTTAACGTTTCCTTTATATGTGCAATGACATATTTGTCAGAATAGAAAGTTTTAAGGACAAGGCCTCTTTATTCACTTTAATTTGGAGGAGCTTAAAAATCTCTTTAACCTTTAAAGGTCTCCTGCTCAAACTGACAGTGGTATATGATCATGTTCAGTACCCAAGGAAGGGAAGAAAAGTGGAAGAATGATGAGCAGTGGGTATGGGCATTTGGGAGACTTGAGGTTGGTATGAAATGAATGGATGAGTGAGTGGATGAATTCATGTCCCAGAGGACCCAGAACCAAAAGGACCACATGACATGGGGCTGTAACGTCGGGCTGGATATTGGTACGGGGAAGGGAGGGCCAGAGCAGGGCTCCAGCAGCAGGCTGGGACATCTTGCAGGTTGGCCTTTCCATGTTGACAGAGAAACTCCATCTTAGCCAGACGTCCCGCCTCAGAATGGCGGCCTCCTTCTCAGGCACCAAAACCCCAGAGAGCTGAGGGGCTGTCGCGTGCGAGGGGATGGAGGAGGAGTCAAGGGGACCCTCAGCCCTTGGAGAGCTAGGGTCAGGTGCGAGAAGGATGCCCCATCCCACTTTCTTTGAACAAAGATGAGAAATGTTCACAAGATGAGAGTGAAACATGGATTTCCTTAACTGACAAGGGGAGCAGCAGGAAGGACCCCCCTTCCCGGGACACCCCAGTTGAATGTCATGGAGACAGAGCATGGAGGAGGTGCCAACCTTTGCCTCCAGACCAGGCTGATCTGAACTGGGAGTGTCGGGGGGTGAGCACCAATGTCGGCGGTTACACATAGTGTGATAGGATGGGCTTCAGACCCTCGTTCTACACTCGGGTCCTGTTGAGCCGGCCCAGGAGCCTTGGGGAAATATTTTTGTTGATATAAAATAAAATAACACAACATTGTCCATTTTCATGCTTTTAGTGTGCATAATGCAGTGGCTTTTCATAGAGTCACAAGGTGATGCAGACATGATTTCTATCCAGTTCTAGAACACGGTTATCACCCCGAAAGGAAACTTTGTACCCATTTTCAGTTCATCCCAATTATCTCCTTCTTCTAGCCCCTGGCAACCACTAATCGGC